AAATCACAAGTTGCACAAAATTTTTAACAGAAACACATTAAAAGTAAGTTATAGCTGTATGCCTAATATGAAATCCGTTTTAAACGCCCACAATCGCCATGTTATAAACAACAAGAAAGAATCAGCTGAAAATAATTGCAATTGCATAGATAAAAACACCTGCCCTTTATCAAACCAATGCTTAACAAAAAATATAGTATATCAAGCTAATGTATGCTCAAACAATCTTGTTCAATCTCCCATAAATAAATTTTACATTGGCATAAGCGAAACATCTTTTAAAATTAGATATGCTAATCACATTAAATCTTTTAAAATTCCCAAATACAAAAATGACACTGAATTATCAAAGGAGGTTTGGAGATTAAAAGATGAAAACTTAAACCCGGTTGTTAGGTGGAAAATAATTAAACAGTGCGATGCCTATAACCCTGTAACAAAACGATGTAACTTATGCTTAAACGAAAAGTACGAAATTTTATTTTTCAAACACCCAAATTTGTTAAATAAAAAGAGTGAAATATTATCTAAGTGCCGGCATAAAAACAAATTTCTTCTTGCCCAATTTGACACTGGTGATTAGCAGTTTTACAACTATGCTTCTTTTTTATTCGTTTTTTTATTCGTTTTGTTTTGACGTCGGAACTCATTCTACTGCTTTTTTTGTATTTTGTATTTTTTTAACGGTTTTTTCTTGATTTGTATAATATATATGGCTGAAGATTGCCGATAGGCATGAAACTTTTAGTTCCATTATAAAGTTGTATTTTTCTATTTAATTACACTTTATTTATATACATATATATTGATCTATTTTGTAAAAATTATTTTTACATTATATTGATCACTCTCAAGTAAACAAGAGGATTTGTATCTCAACCAGATACAATAATAAACAACAATATATATATATATATATATATATATATATATATATATATATATATATATATATATATATATATATATATATATATATATATATATATATATATATATATATATATTAGGTATATTTGTATAAACATTTGAAGAATCATTTGACAACATTTTTTTATAATTTTATTATTTAAACTGTTAACAGTTAATATCTTAAATATATCGTAACATAAAATCTTTTGCGTCTTTTTCGTAACTGCACATTCCGGAATGCTTTTTCCGTAAAGAACTATTTCGTAAGTATTCTTACGAAATGATTTGTTTCGCAAGTTTTCTTTCGCAATGCTTTATTACGGAATTTTATTTATTTATATTTTCGTATTGCGCGTTACGGAATGTGCATTTTTGCATGTGCAACTTCCGCAATAACAATTCTATTACGGTAGATAAAGATGCGAAATTTCGCAAGTTTTGTTTTTCGGCGAACAACCCTAGTCCACAGTATCAAAGGCCTTTGAGAGGTCAATAAACACTCCAAGGAGTATATTGGTTGTTTTCAAACCCATATAATATTTCTTTAACTAATTTAATTACTGCATGTTCTGTCGAGTAACCTTTTCTAAATCAGTAAAGTTTTTTTTATTATTTTTAATATTATTTTGTAATATTATTTTAGCTTTTTTCTTCAAGTTTTCAAACAGGTTTTCGTATATTTTATATATTTTTTCCTTTTGATAAGTTTTTTTCATAGAGTTTTGTTTCTTTTTAAAAGATTTAATAAGTCCTTTTGTAATCCATTGACTTTGTAGACTTTTAAGCTTGGTTTTAATTTCCTTCATCGGAAACGCTTTGTCGTACGCATTAAAGAACTCATTGTAAAAATATTCATAGGATTTATTTGTATCTTTGCAATTATGTAGTTTACTTTGAGTAACTAATTTCTAAATTCCTTAATATTAAATTCAGTAATCGGCCTTTTTATTTCCGTTAGTACTTTGTTTTTTTTCCTGTTTTTATAAAAATCAGATATAAAAAAATTGGAAAGTGGTCGCTTATATCGTTTTTTATGATTCCGCTTTGAATGTTGCATGCTGTAAAAATATTAGTAAAAATATTATCAATGAGAGATTCGGTTTAAAGTTTACAGTTATTCAGAAACTAAAGGGTCAAATAATCCTACAACTGACTTTATGATTATTGATAAGCATGTTCAAAAAGTATGAGACAAAATGAGTTATTATAAAAAATAATTAAGAATAATTAAGAATAACATAATTAAGAAAAATTATGGAATTTATTTAATGCGATAGTGACGGTGGTATTTATGCTTGTGGGATCTTTATGTAGTATTAATATACATTGCGTAGTCATAACATTGTTACCTGGGAAAAAGTCTCTTGCCTTATTTAAACATAGTTCAATTTAATCATTTATATTTGTTGCTATTATATATTAATATTACATTTTTAAACAATTTCCACTGCACCCTAATCTACATTCACCTATGAGAAACTGTATGTATAGTTTATGTTCATATTTTTAAAGTTTAGTTTTATATGCAGTTATTTTATCTCACGTTTGTATTAAGCTTATGTGTATTATCTAATATAATTGTTTTAATTTATACGTAGGGGAGAGTGGTACTGAATAGACCTTGTACTGATAATGAATGGACCTTGTACTCATGATAAGAAGCCTACACTCTCTGATTGCTTGGAGGGGGTATCTGAGCTTGAAAAGGATCTCACTTCTGCTACAGCATGGGGCTCACAGTGGCTGGTGAACTTTAATTCAGATAAAACTCAATTTTATTCGGCCAATCGTTATCGTAATAATTTAGATCTTCCTATATTTATGAATAGTAATGTACTAGATGAGTCATCTACCATTCATCTTCTAGGATTAACTCTTACTTCTGATCTTTCTTTTAAACCGTATATCAAATCCATTGCAAAATTAGCATCTGCTAAGGTTGCATCTCTTTATCGAGCTCGACACTTTCTTACTCCAGATTCTATTCTCTATCTCTATAAATCTCAAATCCGTCCCTGTATGGAATACTGTTGCCTCATCTGGGGCGGATCTTCTAATGATGCTCTTTCTCTTTTAGACAAGGTGCAAAAACGAATTGTAAACATAGTTGGACCTGCTCTGGCAGCCAATCTCCAACCTTTGTCACATCGTCGTAATGTTGCTTCTCTTTCTCTTTTCTACAAATACTATAATAGACACTGCTCTAAAGAGCTAGCGTCCCTTGTGCCATCTACTAAAATTCATTCTCGTGTTACTCGCCATTCAATTAAGTCTCATCCTATTTCTGTGACTGTTCCTAAGTGCTTCAAAAACTCTTATTCTTCTAGTTTTTTTCCTCGAACATCAGTTCTTTGGAATTCGCTTCCTTCATCTTGCTTTCCTGATTCATATAATTTGCAATCTTTTAAGTCATCAGTCAATCGTTATCTTGCTCTACAGATTTAGTCTTTTCTCTTCCAGTAACTTCCAACTCTTATAGTGGTTGCTTGCAGCCTTGTTGGAAGTGAAGATGTTAAAAAAAAAAAAAAAAAAAAGAATGGACCATTAGAAAAATAAAAACTTAACAAGCTGTTAATTGATTTTTTTTAATTGCATATAATTTTTGTATACTCAAAGTTTCTTTGATATTTTTGGTTTAACGTTATTCGTAATAATGCATTAATATTTGCATTTTTTGTTTTTTTCGAGCTAAAAGTAAATTTTTATCTTTTCAATTTGTTTCAATTTACACTAGATTTTTAAGGTAAAGTTAACTATAGTTAATAATAATATTATAGATACATATTTTTTACTTTGTATAACATTAGAATGAATGTTATATGATTTACTGATTGCTGTGATTATATGGGTAACATGTACATTTTGATTAGTGTACTGGATGAACCACCATTGATTGTACTGAATGGACCGGTTCATTTTTCAGCGAAGTTATTTATCGCGCTTCATTATTTTACTTACTAAAACAAAATACACAAGTTTTTTCATCTAAATGAACTAAGGAGATGTGAGTTAGGAAATAAACCAAAATATCTAGTTAACGAAGACTTAAGGGCGCAAGTTCAATAATTCACTATTCAATATAATATTAAGGTAAGCAGATAATATAATGTTAAGTTAAGCAGACTAATAGCTTACATATTAGGTTAATAATTATAAATTTGTAGTTTGTTTCATTATTTCAATAACTGAATGTCATAATATTATTACGATATTTAAATAAGGTGGTATTACTTTTAATAACATCTAGCATATAACATTTGTTATATACACTATATATAATAAAAGTTATATGCTAGATATGTTATATGGCATATAATATGCTAGATAAGCTCTATGCTAGATATTATATAATATATCTGAAATGTTATTTATACGTTTTTAAAAACAATGACAATTACCATGGTCAGTAATTTTTACAATACAAAAAATCAAGTAATATCTAATAAAACCAAGAATAAAATTTCGTAAATTAATTGTTATATTTAAATTACTAAAGCTTGTTGATCATAATAAAAAAATTATTTTACATTCAAGCTTTTATATAATTTAGTTTTTTATACATGTTATGTGTGTGTGTGTTTTTGTGTGTGTGTGTGTGTGTGTGTGTGTGTTTAAATAATTATATATATATATATCGCAGTGGCTGCTGGATCTTTAGCTCTAGCAGCTAGAGTACCGGCTGGGTTCTAGCTAATGACGATGACGTAGCTTTTAGATGGTTTACTTAACATCCGCAATTAGAAAACTAGTAGCCGGTTTCTTAGCCTTTGATTATTTAAAAGTTGCTTCTGATACATAAAATTTACTTACAATTAATTACTTACGACTTAATCGTTAGTATTATCCGCGCTGATTGTTAATAGAATGAATGTAGGAGATATTTTTAATAATTTTAATGAGCTTAAGCTAGCAATTAAAGAATATGAAAAATCAAGATTTGTATCTCTTTATGTTCGAGATAGTCGAACAATTGATTTAGCGATTAAAAAAGGTTTGCAACGATATATTAATGAAGATTTAAAATATTATTATTTAACTTACTGTTGCTATCATGGTGGACGTCAATTTAAATCGGCTTCGTCCAAACCAAAGGTATTTGTAAATAATAATTAAAGTTACTCAATAAGACATAACTTTTTTCTACAATATTTTTTTGTAAACTGAAGATTTCGTTTCATTAAAGATTCTATATGTAGACTTATTTATATTATTTAAACATAGTACCTATAAAATTCAATGTCCATTTACAATTTACATTGGTGTTACTGAAGATGGTGAAAGGTTCTGTGTGACAAAAGTTATTAATAAGCACAACCATGCAATTGACAAAGTAAATCTGTTGTTTTTTTTACTATATAAAGGTATTAGTTTTTTGCTGAATAGCAGGGTGACCAGTATACATGAAATAAGGGAAATTATGGAAAAGTTCAGGAAAATGTTTTGCATTAGGTGGTTAGGAGAGTCAGGGTCCCTGATTCCCTGACAGGGAGAAGTCTAGGATTTTGCTATTTTCCCGTCAAAAGTCATTCATTAAGTCAAAATTTAGCTTTTTGATTTTACTTAAATGATTACTTTTTTTTACATAGTTTTCATTTCCCTAATTAAATCTTTGCTATTAGACTGAAAGACATTTACAAACAATAAACACTAGTTTAAAAAGTAATTATTATAATTTTTTCTTTTTGAAATTCCAGATTTTTAATTATCAGAGTCAGGAAAAAGTCAGGGTTTTTTGATTTGATTGTACAAAGGAGCTGGCCACCCTGAACAGACTGTCAGGAATTATTTTTATTGATGAAATACTATGTTGTTATAACAGCAGCAATATTTCATAATAGCAGAGGTAAAAAAAGTTTAAAAACTTTTCTCATAGGTTCATTTGACATAAGGTAAACTCAACTAGACAGGAGTGCGACAAAAAAAGAATTCTAAGTTTTTAATTATATTTTTAAATGTTCTGTTTTTATATTTTTTTTATAAATTTTTAATAATCAATAATTATTTTATACTTTCAACATATTTGATAGAAACAAATATTGAGTTCCATATTACTATCAGATAAAAGAAAAAAGAAAAATAATACAATTGTGAATGAGTTTGAATGCGCATGCAAATTAAATATTCATTTAAAGTTACGTTTTTTGTTATAGATAATACTTTGTTTTAACTTTGTCTATGTTGACCTGAAATAGAGGCAAATTAAAAAAATATTCTTTGAACTATAAACAAGTTTCTTATAAAGATTTACCTTTAAAGCAAAATTTTAGAAGTAACAATTTGCAGCTTATAAATAAGTTATACGTTTTTTTTATATGCTTAAAATGATAAAATTATTAAATTTTTCAAATTATTTATTATCTAGGAAATAATTGAAAGACTTCCAAAAGTTAGGAAACTAAACGAGGATCAAGAGAAAGATGTTAAACAAATGTTAAAGATACATGGCAATAAATGGCTTATTCATGAGCATGTTCAAAATGAAACAGGTGTCGTTTATTAAAATATGAGCAAAGCGAGTCTGAAATTCTAATTGTATTTGTAGTCTTAGTAGCAATAAAATTAAACGTTACAACTGTAAATTATATATATATATATATATATATATATATATATATATATATATATATATATATATATATATATATATATATATACTTATATAATAAAAAATTTGACAAACAAAGAGCTATAAAGTTTTTCCTGCTAATAGGCATGTTACATTTTCTTATTGCAATAGAATGCAGGAATTTGCGTTTTTCATCTTAGTTACAATCATAATACTTTTATAAACAACTTTGCCAACTTGGTCATATTGACATTAAATTAAATTACACTGTATTTAGTTAAATTACACTGTATTTCAAACAAAAGAATTTTAGGAAAATAAATCTCTCTGAACTGCATATCGTTTGAAAAAAAAAGTTCTTTATTTTTTTATTTCTTTTTTAACTTTGTGTGATTTTTTTACTCACATTTTTGATACTATAATTCTGCTCGACTAAACAAAACTGTTGCAGTATAAAATAACTTACATATATTATATATCAAAAAAATTAAAACCTAAAAAATTAAATCGCAAATTTGTTAATCTAAAACTTTAACTTTGCCTTTTTTATTTGAATTATTTTTTTTTATACAAAAATGATACTTTTGCAAGAGTTGTAAATTGCTCCTGTAAACCATTTTAAGGAGGTGTGGGCAAAACTCCTTGGTGGGAGTTAAGCTCTTGTTCCCAACCAAGGCATATATAACTTTAGGGGAAAATCTGCAGTTTTTTTCGCAAAGATAACAATTTTTGTTATAAAAAACGTAAATAAAAAAAAAGCTCCTCAAGTTTTAATTTGAGTGTTTTTGTAGGTATTTTAATACCTACTAAAACCAAATGCAGTCAACGTTGTCGAAAACGGTCTAGAATAGCCCCTAATCCCCTAATATATATATTTATATATATATATATATATTTATATATATATATATATATATATATATATATATATATATATTTATATTTATATATTTATTTATATTTGTATATATATATATATTTATATTTATATTTGTATGGTATAATTATATTATATATATATATATATATATATATATATATATATATATATATATATATATATATATATATATATATATATATATATATATAGATATATATATATATATATATATATATATATTTATATTTGTAAATATTAATATAATTATAATTGTTATATATATATATATATATATATATATATATATATATATATATATATATATATATATATATATATATTATATATATTTATGTATATATTATATATTTGTATCTATATATATAGATAGGTAAATATATCTGTGTGTACCAAACATACATATATATGTATGTTTGGTACAATTTACTATGTATTAATTAATCTCATTTATCACTAATAGGAAAGAAAATAACATTAAAAGATCTTCATAATTTAGCATCTAAGGAGAAAGGTTCCACAGATATAGAGTCTTTACTTGAAGTTTTTAAAAATTGTGATGGTTAGTTTTTTTCGCTGATTAATGCTGCTGTTTAACAAATTACTTTAAATATTTTTTTTAATTTAATTTTATTTTAAGTTAATTATTTTTTTAAATAGTTCAAAAAAAATTGGATATCAATACTAGTATTTTATATTATTTTCAGAAACAAGATTATGTTAAGTAACGTACGACTGCAAAAAAAAAAAAAAAAGAACAAACTCAATATGAAACTTATCACCATTACTAGCTACTATATTTTCAATTGGTCTTGTTTGGTAGATATTCGTAAATGTTTGTTTTGCACTATTTGTTTACTACTAACACTACAATTTTACTAACGCACAATATTATTTATATTAAACCTGATTTATATAACCACTATGTAATATTTCATATAATATAACATAATATATATTATTTTGGTAGATTTTAGATTATAATTTATATTGCATTGCTCTAAGTTGCTTCACTTTAGTCAAACTTATATTTTGTTTTAGGTGCGGATGTGGACATAAAATGCGATAATAGTGGAGTCATTCAATCAATATTTTTCCAAGATGCAGAAATGAAAAGATTTTTTTCATTGTATCCAGAGCTAATTTTGATGGATGCAACCTACAAATTAACAAATTTACGCATGCCATTATATCTTATGCTGGCTGTAGGACCGAATGGTGAAAGTGAAATAGTAACAATTTTTGTAACTGCATCCGAGGATTCAGTAACACTAAGTGAAGTGCTGGAAACATTTAAATCAAGAAATGAAAAATGGACTAAAATTGTCACTATTTTCACAGATAAAGACATGGCAGAAAGAGACTATAAGAACAACTTTTCCAAATGCAGTTTTATTACTATGCCTATTTCATGTTCTACGAGCAATGAGTCGAGAAGTTACTGTTTTGAAAATGGGAATTTTAGAAAGCCAGCGAATACATGCATTAAAATCTCTACAAAAAAATGGCTTATGCCTTATCTGAAATAGACTTTGAAAAACAGAGAGATGATTTTGTTGCCAAAATGCCACAGAGTGTTGTTCGTTATTTTGAAAATAACTGGAACAATTGCATAACTGAATGGGTGTATTGTTGGCAACAGCAGAATTTAACTTTTGGACAGCGAACTACAAATAGGTTAGAGTCTGTGAACAGAAGAATCAAAGCTGTCCTAAATTTAGACTTAGGACAGCTTTGATTCTTCTGTTCACAAAACCATAGACTTTTCCAACACCAAAATGAAAACCTTAGTCATCTGGGATTAGGTGTTGTTAAGGAAATACCATTGACACAGTCTGAAAAATTTTAAAAAGCATATCGTCTTTCGCAGCGTTTAGCCCAACTAGTCTCAGAAAGTAACAATAATGAATTTGAAATCAGGTTAAATGTTCTACAAAATCTAGCTAAAGTTTGGGAGGAAAATAAAAGCATAGATGTGTCAATCCTGGAATCACCTGTGGATTTTTTAATAGAAACTAATTTGAATCACCCTGCTGAAATAGGTAAGAAGATATTATGTGATGATACTGGTAAAGAGATGTTATGTGATGGTATAAAAACTTTATATCCTCAAAACTCATCAAATAGTATTGATGTTGACTTCAAATCTAATGAATTCTTTAATCCAATAGATATAAACCAAAGGGGTGTTTGTAGTTTCCTTACTTTAAATGACTCGAAATCAACTGACTCGTCAAATCAACTTGTTAATAGCTGTAATTCAAAAATTTCAATACCCCAGTCTCTTACAAAAACAAATTATTTATCTAATAGTTCCACTGAATTTGAGTGTAAATTACACTTGCAAGAACAAATGATTTACTCTTCCCCTGATCTTCAATTGAACAATGGTAGAAATGAGTTAACTAGTGTTCAAAGCTTGGCTCTTGATCAAAGTCCCACTCTTGAAAATTTTAACACAATAGTTAGTGAAAATCAGAACAGTTGTGATGCAGTAGAGGTATTGAATTATTTTTCATTTAATTTTGAAATGCTTTTATTTTAGTTTTGGGATTTAAATAAAAGAAAAGGTTGAAAAGTTAGAGGTGGTATTATTCCAATTCCATCAATTCTAAAGGAAT